GGGGGGGGGCAGGGGCCACCTTGGACCTTGGACCCCCCTATGGCCCCCACACTGAACGAAAAGTCTACAGTAGCCCCACTGAATTGGCAGCCGCTGGCCACATCCGCCTGAAGCATGTGGCCCAGCCCATAATCTAATATATAACAACAAAAGTAAACTACATGTAGGCCTATAGTGAATGGAAGTCGCTAAAGAGTGAGCTATATCATTTCCTTATCATCAGGGTTGAGTTTCACATGCACTGTACCGATCACCGCCAATCAAGGCTCAACATAGCCTAACTGTCCGACCTGCAGCCTCTCCCGCTCCTGGGTCTGCAGAGCGCCTCCGCGCATGCGCACGTGCACACACGGATCGAAGTCAGCCAGCTGATCTGCGGACATTGACAACTACGCTGGTTAGTGTATGTACGTGGTGCAATAAAAACTTAGCAAGTAAAAAGCCAATTCTTTACCAACTCCTGTTTAATAAACACAATGTTTTAATCTGCTCAGTCTCTCATCCATCGCAGCTGTGTTTTGTTTTTCCACAAGCACAGCGCTAGTTCGGATAATGGCTTATTGTTACAAACAAGCTACAATGAAAGTGTCTGTCTTTAGTAACTGTTCAGCTTAGTTTGCCACTTACATTAAAATATGGCACAGTATAAACTGAGCTGGTGGCTGAGACAGAAATTCCTCTCTACCACCAGCAGCAGCAGCAGAGGGAGGAGCAGGAGAGGAGGGACTGAGCTGTTCATTCTTTCTAAACTTCACTCAGTATGTTGATGTCAGGAATATGATTTATTTTACTGACATGTTAGATTTGTTTCCAGTGAGATATTAGTGACTTTGATGCTATTCTAGATACATTTAGTTAATACATTTTTTTTTTAATAATATATGCAGTGATTTAGTAATAAATAGGACTGATAAGAGCATCGATAAAGAACTGAACCAATAAGGATTACCAATACAAGTGTGTCAATAAAATCCTAATGATCCCAACTCTTGAGAAAATGTCCAGCCCATCTCTGTGTCCTGGTTTTAAAATCTGGTCCAATTGAATAGCCCTGGTCTACAGTGATCATAGTAATATATCTTCCTTGCAACGAAATGTACATTAAACTGTATGCAGCATTGTAGACAATATTTTGTCCTTGTAATCCATGTTTCCATTGCATGGATAGCCTTTGGAAATTGTTCTGAGTCCCCCTCCTTAAAGGGTAAATTATCATAACAATTTACATTTACATTTACTCATTTGGCGCTTTTATCCAAAGCGATTTACATTTGAGGAACAACATACAAGCATCAACAGAGCATCAAATAGGGAAGAAAGTAAGAGTTAACAAAAAATGCCATCAATACAAGATAAATGTAGGGGATAGAAGAAGAAGAGCACAGGAAGTGCATTTTAGAGGTTAGGAGTTAGAGGTGTTATAAGAGGAAGTCTTCTCGTTTTCAAGAGCTTCTTGAAGTTAGAGAGGGACGCCCCCGCTCTGATGGCGCAAATTTAATAATGCATTGCATTTAAACAGCACTTTTCATACACAAAAAGCAATAACAGTAGCTTTATACATACATACATAATTTCCGTGGAGGCGATGTGTTGCAAGTAGGGTAGCCTATTAATTTTAGTGAATGTAAAAATATCACCACAAAGTATGTAGGCCAACTTGCTCTGGCCTTTGCTCTGCATGAAGAGAAGGCTGAAACATGAGTGCACAGACTGTCCGTATGCGGGTTCATGACATTTCACGAGCGAGGACGCGGTGTTTGTCCCGCCCCTCCTGCACTGTGATTGGACAGCTGAGTAAAAAGTGACAGTGACGAGCGCAGCGTTTTTTCCAAAGTTGAACATTTTTCAACTCTCGGCAACCGGAAAAAAACGGTCAGCACTCAGCGCCTCGTCACGCTCCTGCCATTTATACCAACTTGGAAAAACGCGGCGCTTTCATTGGAATGAGTTGACGCTGGCGTCAGAAAAAACGCTTTGGTGGACACGGGCCCTGACAACACAACTGGCCCCAGCCTGGCCACCTTAATAAAATTGGTCTAGAACCGCCACTGCAGGGCTCACATTGACCTCTAGGATGATGTTCGTCTCTTCACAGTGCTTGTACATGCCCAGAGTCACAGTTAAACAGGATCATCAGCATGGACACATTATCCAACCACATGGATGAAGAGGTTAAGGTCATAACACATTGGATGAGAGATCATAGTCATTCATATAATTCATCAACAGCTACATACTAGAAGAACGTAAGTGGATTAATGATGGCCGATTTTTTTCACATGGTACCACAATTCTTTCAGCTTTATTTAATTGTGGGAAATTTAAAGGTATCTTAAACACACTAAACACGTTAATCAGTTTGTCTTGCTCTGTAGCATCACATTTAGTTTTTAGATTGACAACCGCACATAACCAAGTCTGGTTTCAATGATATCTGACGTTATTTTTTTGCACAAATCTCAGTGTAGATTGCTCCTTACATAGAATGAGATGGACCTGGTCCACATGCAGCATTACTCCTGGGTTTGGAAGCAGTATATGTTGCAGGGCTTTCTCCAGGAAATGGCTGGCTCAAATAGTGGCATCAGCAGCTAGCAGTGGGACTTTGTGTGGCAGCCTGAGATGCCACAGACTTACTGGGGCACTTGCTGCTGTTTTTAGCAACAGCTGCCTCCACGGTAACTACCGCTGACCTGCCGCTGTTTGTGGCAACGACCATCACTGCAGAGGAGAGTTTTTGAAACACTCAGAAGCATAGTAAAACCAAAGCAGTACCAATGGAAAGTTAGTCTTTTGCAGTAAAATAAAGTTTATAAAATAAAAAGTGAATAAAAATAGACAGTGAAATCAACATTAAAAACATTGTCAAATTAAAACCATTAAGTGATTATATTTTTGAAAATGTGTAGAAACATACTTACTAACTTACTAAAGAAGAATCAAAATCAGAAACCTTTTTACCAACAAGGTTTTACACATCCAAGGAATTTTCTTTTGTATCTTGCTACATAACAAAAACTGTAGTATTTAGAAAACAAGTACTGAAGGTCAAGAAAATATTAAAGGATATGTACTAACAGCAAAGTCTAGTTTGTGCAGGGATGTGCAGTGTGAGAGTCAGGTAAACTATGGACTATGATTTTTTTTATAATAAAGGTTAAAAGTCTTTGTCCGTTATGTTTACACCCAGTGATTTAAATCCTCAAATGATGAATTGTCTTCAGATCGAAAGGGATTATATTAAAGACTTTCCAAAAATGCAGAAGCAACAAGTCTCTGGATTCAAGCTCTCTAAGAAACATGTTGAAAAAAAGTGTTTACAAATAAAGAAGATTGGCATGGTGATGCATGGTGTAGAAAAGATGGTGGAACTTTGTTATATCTGAAAAATGTGTTTATCTTTGCCTCTTTGTACAAAGTCTCTTTCAACCACAAGGTGGCAGCATCTATCAAATTATGTCCACTGTCGTCCTGCAGCTCTATGTGTGTTACTAGCTGGACAGAAAGTAACATGATGGCTGACAAGGTAATCTATAATTCTGATATAGTACGGTATATAAATATTTGTTTTCACATAAATTAACATTGTATGACTGTTTTGTAACTCAAATACTACTCAAATACATTTGTGTTGTTTTACCCAAGTAATTATTAAAAATAGATAATAATATTCTTGGTGAGGGAGATGATGTTCAGCTCCCACTTGAGGTCCTGGGAGATGATGGAGCCCATGAAGCGGAAGGTCCACAGTGGCAACTGTGGAGCTCCCAACTGTTCTGGCTGCACCAGGTCACCAGTTGGTCGATCTCCCACCTGTAGGCAGACTCATGAGATGAGCCCAATGAGGGTGGTGTCTCCATGATCTTGAGACTTTCCTGGGAGACACAGCAAACCTTCTTTCTACAACAGCACCGAAGAGATGTAGTACTTAGTACTTATTGACGCTACAAACAAACTGGTACCAAATTGGCTCGTGGACTAGTTAGTGGAACTTTGTCTCCATTTTTTTTAAGACTTATTGGCTGGTGTCTCCCTGATGAAAAGATGGTTAATGTGGAGAATTTTGCACAATGTCTCAGTGTGGGATTGTTTGATAAGCAAACTAAAGACCAGCTACTGAGAATAGCAAAGTATTATGAAGTAGGCCTTCCAAAGCAGGGTCGTAAGGAGGTCATTGTGACAACTTGCCAGTTAGGACAACTTGAAGTGTTGCCAGCATTAGCAATCTTTGGTTTAAAAGGTGTGCTGGCCACTCAGGAAGCTGCTGCAGTATCAGCAAGATAAAGAGAATGAGGAACTAGCACTTGCTCACGAGGAGCGGCTCCGTGCTCGAGAGCAAGCCCTGCAGATTGTGAGAAGAAATGCAGCAGCTGAAAAACAGGCAGCTCGAGGAAGATCCAACAAAACAGTATTTAATCTTTGAAAAGCATTTAGTTTTTTCCTTGACAGTAGCGTTCCAAGGTTTCAGTGCGATTGGGGGACGTGATCAGTGCATTTATTTCATTTCCAAAATGTGTGTAACTGCACGATTTATTGTGAACTGCAAAAACAGTATACTTTGACAATGCAAGCGATTCCATTTGGATGTACTATGGAACTGGGGCACTGGTCTCTGCCTGTAGGAGGAAGATCTGCCATTTTCAAAGATCAAGTTTGCACTTCCTGTTTACCAGTATTTTACAGCTGTTCCTGATGTTTTCCTGCTCTATATTTGTTACTTGTTCACAAACGGTCCAGCAACACCCACCAACCCTTAAAAGCAGTGGACCTCAGTTCTCGGCAACATATTATGTGTTCAGGATTTAAATATTTTAAATAACACCAGAATTTATTTATTAAAATAGGTTGTTTCTCAAGGATTGCTTTTCATTTTCCTATTTTTTTTTTCTGTCTGCCGTCTTACGAGGCACTTTCTAGAGGTGTTTGAAAACTCCTGGTGTAACCAGTTTACATCACTTCTTCAAACAACAAAATAGTGGATAAAAATGTTAAAACAGTTGTTGGGGTGTAAAGTTGGATACATTTATTCAAAAAATAATTTCAGAAATTTATACAAAGGAAACAACATCTATACAAAGTTTATTGAACGTAAACATGAAAATAAAGCAATAAAAGCAACTGCCATCTAAACAACGTGTGGCAAAAAATGAAAAATATAAACAGTTTATTTACACAGATAATATCTACTTAAAATAACAAACTATTGATGAAAACATTCTGCAATTTAAAAAACACTAATAAAATACTATCATTAAAGCAATTGCCATCTAAACAAACGTGTGGCAATAAATAAAATATAAACAGTTTATTTACACAGATAATATCTACTTAAAATAACAAACTATTGATGAAAACATTCTGCAATTTAAAAAACACTAATAAAATACTATAATTAAAGCAATTGCCATCTAAACAAACGTGTGACATTAAATCTAATATAAACAGTTTATTTAAACAGATAATATCTCTACTTAAAATAACTATTAAATAACTATTGATAAAAACATTCTGCAATTTATTCTGCGTTGACGTGGCTGGAGCTTGGTCTTTCGCTCTCCCCTGGAGACAGCCGGCCTTCCTCCTTTGGGAGAAGACAGCAGAGTCAGTAGGTTTGTTGTGAGATATACAAATATTCTTCTTCCATTGGTTCGACAATGTCAAAGTTAGAAATCAGAGCTTTGTTTATTATTATTTTGTTCTTGTCATGTTTCCTCCCACAGCACAGTCCTTCTGTTCTAACCAAAGAACGGATGTATGTACTGCAACTGTACCTCTTTGGTGTCCTCCAGCGCTTGCATGATCGATGCGACCACCAGGTTCACCAGCACAAACTGAGCCATAACCACGAAACTGATGAGGTACAACGGAGAGACCCAGGAAAGGTATCTCATACAGCCGTGCTCATCAGGATGACATTCTCTTAGTGTGTCCTTGAGAGACACAGAGCAAGATTCAGAAAGGAAGAGGGACTGGCACACAGACTGGAGACAACATTACAAAATCATTCTTACTTCAAAACCACAGAAATTATAATAAACTGACAATTGGAAACTAAACGGTAGAGCAAAAGTTAGGATACAACATCATTGTAATGCTTTGTTTTATGGGTCTGTAATTTACTAACGATTCCCCAAATGATTCCCTGAGAAGTTTCATTGAAAGAACTGCTCCATTTTAATCAAATGTAATTATTCATATATGTACTTCATATATGTTGAATTGTATGCTCCCTGTAGACAAATTGTTTAGCTGACTTGTTGTCCACTGACTAAACACTCCCGAAATTAATTAATTGGAAGTTGCCAGGGGGGGCAGTGGTTGGGGGATCCTATGCTGTATGTATAGAACTTGTGTGTCATGAGGGAGTGAGTACATACTTTCATAATCACGTTCCAGTTGTCTCCGGTGCATATGGCGTACAGTGTGATCAGGGCCACCCCAAAATGTCTGAAGTTGGCTTCATCATGTAAACCCAGGCACGGGTGGTCATCACTGCATTCTGATAAACACAGAGGCACACAGCACAGACATACAGATATTGACTTCAGTGCACAGTGGACATGTTGGCTTCAACCAATTAAAATCCTTCAGATATGTGTTTGAGTCACTTTCTTATTTTAACATACTGATAGTGTGGCATAAGAGTAGGCCTGTAATATTTATCCAGATTCCTTTGTAATTTTAGGATTAGTTAATGGCTAAATGATGCTCTGGGGGGGGTATTTACTAACAGTTTTTCGCATCAATAAATTCTCTTCTCAAACCTCCCACACATGCACATGCTGACACCAGTACAGACCAGTGCAATAGGTTCATGGACTTTTTCACCAACAGGGTGGCTTCCATCCGGTCCAACCTCTCTGCCACAGTTTCACCTTCCTCCAAAAATCAGTCTCACAAACCCATTCAACACATTTTCTGTCTTTTCACGCATTTCTCAGACAGAGGTGGAGAGGATCACAAAATGCATCACAGCAATCCTCAACCAGTCACTCAAATCCGGTCAGGTTCCTCCAGCTCTCAAAACTGCAGTTATCCGCCCCCATCTTCAAATACCGTCACTTGACCCCGAAATCCTGGCTCATTACAGACCCATTTCAAACCTGCCGTTTTTGTCTAAAGTCTTGGAAAAAGTTGTTCCAGCCCAACTCCACAATCACCTTCACATCCATAACATATACGAAAAATTTCAGTCTGGTTTTCGAGCAGCACACAGCACGGAGACAGCCCTGGTCCGCGTCATGAATGACCTACTTATGACTGCAGACTGGGCTCACCATCTCTCCTCCTTCTGCTGGACCTGTCGGCCGCCTTTGACACCGTGGATCACAACATCTTGCTCCACCGTCTCCAGTCTGTGGTAGGACTCTCTGGGACCACACTAAGCTGGTTCCAGTCTTACCTCACAGGTAAGGACGGAGTATGTGGCTCTAGGACAGTCCCAATCATCACCCCACACAGTCAGCTGTGGAGCGCCAAGTGTGCGTCCTCGGTCTGACCCTTTTCACCATCTACTTACTACCCTTTGGTCACATCATCCATAAACACAAAGTTTCATTCCACTGTTACGCAGACGATACACAATTATACATAAAAATGTATACTCCACACTCCCCTCAGCTCTGCCATCTGCACTTCAGGTTTGCCTGGAGGAGATAAGGGCATGGATGTCTGACAACTTTCTTGAATTAAATAGCAGCAAAACCGAAGTCATCCTGATCGGTACCCCACACCAAACCCAGTCCTCCTCCCTCAGCAGAATACCCATTTTTGGTCATCACATTGCCCCGTCTACCTCTGTTACAAACCTCGGAGTCAGACTTGACTCAAATCTCACATTTGACACCCACATCCGCCACCTTTGTAAGATCTCCTTCCTCCACCTCAAAAACATTGCCAAACTCTGCCCCTCCCTCTCCCAACCGGATGCTTAGAAGTTGATCCATGCCTTTATCTCCTCCGGGTTGGACTACTGTAATGCCCTCCTCGTCGGGATCCCTAGCAGGAGCCTGCAAAAGCTCCAGCATATTCAGAACTGCGCTGCCCGAGTCCTGACAAGGAGGTGCAAAAAACTGCCCATTCAACACAGAATCTAGTACAAAATCTGTCTCCTCACCCATCAGTGCATACATGGAACTGCCCCCTGCCTTCCTCAGTGAACTCCTCACCCCACACACCTCCTCACGAAACCTCCGCTCCTCCACCTCCGCTCCTCCACCTCTACCTACTGCCTGCACCAACCAAGGACTAAACTCTCCACACAGACAGGGCCTTCCAGGCAGTCGCCCCACGGCTCTGGAATGCCCTCACAGAGACCCTAAGGGCCCCGCAAACTGTGGAGGTTTTTAAGAAGGTCCTAAAGACATTCCTATTTCAAAAGGCCTTTCAACACTCATGATTTTAATTTTATTTTTGTGGTGTTTTATTTCTATTTGTTGATTTTGTTATATTTTGGGAACTGTTTTTAACCCCCTGCTTCTGTAGCACTTTGAGATTTCGTTGAAATGTAAAGTGCATTATAAATAAAATTTATTATTATTATTACAAGGCTGCCTCCTGAGGCTGACTCTCCTTGAGGATTAGCTAAAGGGTTTCTGGATTTCCTTGTCAACAATGTGGATACTGGGCAAATCTGGGATCAGCTCTGTAACCATGATCCTTTGCAGTAACCCCGTGTGAAGGTGTGTGTTCTGCTAGTAGTGTAACTTACGTAGCTTGCCATAGAGCTCCACTCCCACCGCAGCGTATATATAAAATGACAACATGAAGATCACACAAATATTCCCAACCTGGAATCAAAATCAGTGTTAGATCTGCTGCACAACAAACGCTAACATGTAGATACTCTCAATTCTCAACCACGGGCCGGGGCCATTTTGTACCTCAACTAAAAGGAACTACTTTATTTGAGACAGGCTATGATTACACACTTCCTCCATCTTTTGAGCTTAAAAGGATTGTATCCCTTTAATTGATCAGTGATCACTTAATCCGGCTGTACAGCCAACTTGAGTTTTATGACGGCCAAAAATTAGGCCCTATCTGATGTGATTAGTTTTTATTAACATGCAAATTTAAAAATAAAACTGACTGGCGAGCACAGCACTGTCGCTGGGTTCCTAGTGTGTAAACAGCACACAAACAGAGATACCCCAGGGACAGATTCTTCATACTGTAATGTGGGTAAAAATCAAGCACCAAATGCAGCAAGAGCAAGGTTATCCCTGTGCAAAACCAAATAATTTATATTGATTTATTTAGACAAAAAAACTAAATAAATCCCTCATTGTCTGTGTTTACCTGTGAAAGAGTCTTTATGATGGTTTTTAGCAGAATTCGTATCTTTCTGACCTTCAGGACTGAAGAGAGACACAAGAGTTGTCACAGATAACTTATATTTGTCACCCAAAGATACGTTTAGTATTACGCTTTCAGTGTGTGTATAGTACCTGGTACTACTCTGAGTATTCTGCATACTCCCAGGATGCTGGGATTAATGGGAACTATGTCTGCCATATTTATCTGGTGCAAAACAATGCTGACGATGGAAACCATGAGTACAGCAACGTCCAGTAGATTCCAACTAAACACACACAAAAGTCATTGAACACTTTTCAGGCGCTTACACACAAATGCAAATAAGAGAAGCTAATTTCTTGCTCATTGTACGGTGTCACCTCATTTTTATGAACTCCCTTATGCCCAACTGCACAAGGTTCTTCATGACTTCAATAAACATGATGAAGGTGACCAAACAGAAGTAATACTCTGTAATCCTCCCTATATACTGAGCAGACACACAAAAGGTTTATTCTATTGCCTCAGAATCAATGCAAATGCAAATACATTTTTTGAGAGTGATTGTGTGTGTGTGTGTGTGTGTGTGTGTGTGTGTGTGTGTGTGTGTGTGTGTGTGCGCATTACCGGAGGTTGATTGTAATGTTGGAGACCCATCATCACAACATTGCTGATAATAACGACAGACATGAAGTGGTCCGAGTTGCTGCTGCTACCCGGAGAATCTGTAGCTGCAGGATCTGGAACACACACACACACAAAGATGCATTCAGATGTACACACAGAAAAAGGAACATATAACAAACACTAAAAACATTTAGAGCTGCTCTAATCAATATTATTATTACATCAACAATTACATCGCATGGCTACAAAAAGATGCAAAAGGAGTCACTCAAAGTGATGAACCCAAAGAGGCTTATCACACCATTCTGCAGGTCATCTCAAGTCTACAAAGCATTTCAACGTTGGTTTTATGGTTCACACTTTACTGTTTTGGTTCACTATCATCATCTCATCAACGTTACATCCAGCTGCAGCAGGCAGCTGTTTTTACCTCTGTTAAACCCACTGGTCGAAACCAGTCCGAATACATGCATCTCCCTGGCCAATATGATCGGCCACTGTTTGCTTGACCTAAACAGTCTTTCTCGTTTGTTTGTTAGACTGTGAAAGGCAATGCTCAGAAAAATAGACCGCCAACAAGCCCCTTCATTCTCCTTACTGTTGCACTGGACTTTTCCTCCCTCTTCAAGTAACTCTCCATCGCTACTTTTTTGATTCTGCTGACACTGGTGGAAGGTCTCCACCATTACACTAATAAACATGTCGAGCAGAAAGAAGCTTATAATCATGAAGGTGATAAAGTAGAACAGCATCCATTCGTTGTGATTCAAAACAGGCTGAGAGGAGAAGAGCAGAGAGGAGACATCAAGGGCGCATTTATTGCACTGCTGTCAATAGAAGGCAAAACAACTTGTGTATAAATAACAGTGTAAACACATCAATAATTTACTTTACTAGCAGAAATACCTGTTGGTCCACTCCCACAGCATCCAGCCCATCATACATGATGTTCATCCAGCCATCTTTAGAGAACATTACAAACAAGCTCATCAGAGCCTGAATGGGAAACAGAGAAATAAGTGGTAAGTCAACACTTTGTTCCCCAGGTCCTACCATTTCTTTCACCAGTACGCACCTTCATTACTGTAGTGGATCAGCCAGTGTGTTTTTTTATTTTATGCGATTATGAGATTCCAAAAAATCTCCTTTGTCTCTCCCTGATGAAGGGGGGGGGGGGGGGGGGGGGGCACTAGAGACAGGCTGACCAAAACCTAAAGTGAAAGGTCCTCCTCCCCTGGAGTTGACCTTTCAATTGTTCTCTCATGGAACCAGTGTCCCCCAAGAGGACAAACTTAGTATTACATGCCATCATTCTGAAATGCCGCTTCTGCTGTTTAATGTATTACTCTGTAGTTCAATGTTCATAATCTGATGCCATGTTCGTGTTTAACAGCCAATATTATCCAGGAAATATTGAGTTAAGTCTCATTCATTCTGAAATCGTGAAAATGTGTTTAACTGGTAACCATTCTAATATTACAACGATTAAGTAACTTTCCTTTCTTTTTATCAAATGCTTAAAACTAAGAACGGTATAACTGTTTGACATTAAAGGTTTGATTGTGGGAAGATATTTGATTAAAATACGCGCATATAGCCTTTAGGACCATATTAAAAGGAGACCGGAAGCCAAGCCCCCTGGGGACACGCCCCAAGCGGCCAGACAGACAAAACAGCACTAGCTCTCTTCTCTTGTACTTCGGCTCTTCAGCAGATTTTTAAAGCTCTCTTTGTCTTCCAGCAAACGTTTGTTGAATTTATCTTTTTCTTTTGTTTGTAAGGCCAGCCACGTGGTTAGTTACGGGAGCAGTAATAAAGGACAATCAAACCGACAACCCGAGCCAAGGTTAGCATCCTATCCCTGTAAGTTTTCTTCAATAAGCCGACCGAGGCGGACCCCCTGGACAACCTGCTAGTAAAAAGCTGTTCCTGGCGTACCAAGACGCCAAGGCCCAAGCGCTGACTAGTCGTGGGGCCGCCGAACACCAACCGACTGGAGAAACAACAAGCAGTAAGGCTAAAACCAAGGTATGATGTCCAATAGTCTGTTATTACATTAGCTTATTACATATGTTGCCGAGGACTGAGGTCCACTGCTTTTAAGGGTTGGTAGGTGTTGCTGGACCGTTTGTGAACAAGTAACAAATATAGAGCAGGAAAACATGGAACAGCTGTCATGCGCAGAACTGCTAAGTAGCACATCTCGATAGCATAAATCGACAGAACACCAGCCAGCTCCGCCAATTTTAAGCTTCATACATATTACTGGACGAAGCCACCCCGTTGATTTGAATGGAGAGCAGTGAAGCCAGTTTTGGACCAATAAAATACTACTACAGGGCCACTTCCTGTTAGCACCAGCGTCTACTGCGCATGATCGCGCAGCATAACCGCGGTTTAATGACGTAGAACTGCAGAAACACCGTAATTCTGGTAGCTGTAGAAATTCGCCAACAAAACGTTTCATGGCTCAGTGTGTTTGACTCGGATCATCACTGTTTAATCAGCCCACCTACAAGGTTCACCTGTCAAACACCAAAGCAGATGATTGCTCTGATAGTTTTTTTTTTTGATTGCCGAGAGTTTATAATCTAAGCAATACGGTTACACCTCTCACAGGGTTTTGACATCATTTTTGGGCCTACATGCATCCCTCCATGCAGGCTTTGATCGGCTTCACTGTCCCTTCTCTGGCTTACCCCCTTGCTTCAAAACGGCTCTGCAGAAACCAACGGGTGACGTCATGAACGCTACGTCCATTTTCATATACAGTCTATGCCACAAATCACGTGAGGCGCAAGCTTGCAACCGTGTGGGCGTATCTCTGCAAAGTGTGTGTTGTAAACTCAGCTCTGAAAAAAGTCTGCAATAGGAGTGCAAATGTAATAAAGTTTTGCCCTTTTGAATCTCAATTTTCAGATCATCATTTACAAGGTTTCAAACCTGGAAAACAAACTAATGCACTGGGAGAACAAAATTGTTTGTGCAACATCGTAAAAAAATGTTCTGAAGAAGGAAAACTCAAAAACAACAATGTTTGCAGGCTTGCAAATCTTAGTTTTCGATCTTACAAAACTATGTTTCTTTCTTATAATCTTACAAAACTATGTTTTGTAAGATTTTGAGTTTTCAAAATTTTGAATCATGGCGGGATATTAATCCCATACAGACACAGACTGCACAAGATTAAAAGAGTCAATGAGGTGTAAAAAGTCTTTTGCCAGTGGGTTTTCAGGACAACACACATGAACATTAAAATCCCCAACAATGAGGACACGATCGTATTTACAGACAAGTCATTTACAAAGTCCTTATTGTATTTGGGAGGCCGGTAGACCACTGCACACAACACTGTGTGATATAAGCTCAGCTCAAAGCTGGTGACCGAGGATGATGGCGACAATTACATTTCTAGACATTCTTATAACAGAGCAGGGGCCGCATGGCTGGAACACCTCATCTAGGCCGACAGCAGGTACCTACCAGGCGTCGACAGGGTCCAGCAATCGCAGAGGAATGAGGAGCCGAGGCACCGCTTGGTACTCAGCCCAGGAAGAAGACGCTAAACAGGCTTTCAACCTCACCAGCTGACCGCTGCGTTTTCCCCGGCGGCGGTAGCGCTTAGGCCTACGCCGGAGATGTGAAGCCTCAGAGCGGCAAAGGCAAGCAGGTATTCCCGATAGGAGCGGGGGCAAAGTTTTATATCCGCCATGATCAAACCTTACTAGATCTTTGGCAGAGAAACGAAGATCCAGTAGTGTTTGGCGATCTTACACCAATATTGAATCAACGTTTTGAACAGCAATTCATAGTTTTCAGTCACGTGACATGCACAGTGACCTGGAGGGCAAAACAACGGACCAACATAGCGGCTCACACCGCGACTCCCCCGTAGAGACGCAGCAGTCAAATTTTATTTGGATCACCTTTCAACTCAACAAAAAGAAAGATATAAACACAAACTGCAAGTGTTTTTCATATCTGATCCATACAACGTTACAGCATCCGCTGCCGTATTTCTACTGCCAGGTTCCGGCCACCGCTCGGACTGCGGAAATGTTTACTTTTACCTTCTGGGGAATCCCTCACCTAACATAGCTCAGGCTTGTCTTCTCGATTAGTAAAAGCACAAACAAGCATCCAGCATTTTGGCAACGCAAAAAGTAAAGCTGATGATACACAGCAACGGAAATTCTTTTTGCCATTCAAGGGAGCGTTTTCATTGGAGTGTGATGTCACGTGAAAACTATGAATCGACACGAACAGCACGAACACACACAGCACTGACAGAGAGAAATCTCATCTCATCGTCATATATAAACGTAATAATTAAAGATTGATTAGAGCCTACATAAACGTAATAATGTTTCTGGTCAATTTCAAACCAATACTAAATGTGACGTCACGATAATAAGGTTCTTTGACGTCCTACATTGATGTATTATTTTTTAAATCAGGTGTGACGTTGTGCTTTGATCTTTGAAGATAAAGGCAAAATGTTACACTGCATTCAAAATGTGACATCACCTGGCAGAAATGACCTACCCAGCTTCTGACTTTATATATATACATTAAGTCAGAAGCCCACGGTGATATCTTCACAAATCTTTTTCTCAAAGCAGGTTTTTTTTTGGCACAAGTTACAACAAAAAAAAAAGAAGAAAAAAGTTCAATAGGATACTGAATGAGAGCTGGTGGAAACATTTAACTTGTAGAAATGGGATCAGCATTACCTAAACTAAAGTTGTGTAGTTCTATCGTAAAAAATAACTGTGTGTTGGATGAATCAAGATCAACACTGTATCTTGTAAGAGCGGCCCTACATAATGGACGTACAGGGAAAGTGTTCCAGTGCAAACTATTTCAATGGGCCAGGAAGGACGTGGCTGTGAAGATTATGCATAATAAATTCCCCTGGTCTGGTGAAAAGGAGTTGACCGCACTTAAAAAACTCAGTAAGCTTGACCCAGACAAGAACAGCTTGGTCAGGTTTAATAGGCATTTTAAAGACTTTCAACACGTTTATCAGGAATATGAACTGCTCGACAAAAGTCTGTACGACTTCATGAAACTACAGCACTTCAAGCCACTGTGTTTATCTGGGATCAGAGTAATCACACAACAGCTCCTGGTGGCTCTGAATGCTCTCAAGAGCATCGGTCTGGCTCATACAGACATCAGCCCAGAAAAGGTAATGCTTGTGAATCAGTTGCAGTCATTCAAGGTGAAACTGATTGGTTTTGGTGCAGCAGGACCAGTTTCCACATTCAGGTATGGCACCACCGACCAGTGCGTTGCTTACAGGGCCCCAGAGGACTTGTTGGGCCTCCCAATGAACGAGGCCAGCGATATGTGGGCACTAGGTTGCACTTTGACCTTCCTGTACCTGGGACAGCACCTTTATCCGACAGAGTCTGAATATGAGGTCATGAGAGCCATCGTGCAGATGCAGGGTCTGCCTGATGAACACATGCTGAAAGACGGAGGAAGGACCAGCACATTTTTCACCTGTGAAAACTATTTATGGAGGCTGAATGATAAATATGAAAACTACCACAGAACAGGCCACCAGTTTACCAGTCTGGATGACATGGTGAAGACCCACTCAGAAGTGAAGAATGGTGCTGAATATGAAGACACACAGGCCTTTTTAAACCTCATCAAACAGATGCTGCAAGTGAATCCTGAAAAAAGAATCACCCCCAGCGAAGCTTTAGAGCACAGTTTTGTCACAATGAAACACTTTCACACTAACGAAGACCCTTATGTGAGATCTGGCAGTTTGGCCATGGAGCATTCATTGGATAAACGCAAACCCTTTGAAATATTCGCTAGAGAAATGAATCATCTCGTTAAAGAAAATTACATTCTTGATAAATCAAGACTGTATCTTGTAAGGGCGCACCTGGCGAAAGGAGTTACTAGGCGTGTGGTCCGGTGCAAACTATTTCAGGATGGCAGGGACGTGGCTGTGAAGGTTTTGCCTTATACCTTCCCCATGCCTGATAAAAGGGAGTTGGCCGCGCTTCAAGAACTCCGTAAGCTTGACCCAGACAAGAACAACTTGATCAGGTTCAATTGGCGTTTTACACACAGGGCCCACATTTGTCTGGAATATGAACTGCTCGACATAAATCTGTATTCCTTCATGAAAAGGAGGCACTTCAAGCCACTGTGTTTATCTGAGATCAGAGTAATCACACAACAGCTCCTGGTGGCTCTGAATGCTCTCAAGAGCATCGGTCTGGCTCATACAGACATCAAGCCACATAAGGTAATGCTTGTGAATCAGTTGCAGTCATTCAAGGTGAAACTGATTGGTTTTGGTGCAGCAGGACCAGTTTCCACATTGAGGTATGGCACCACCGATCAATGGCTTATTTACAGGGCCCCAGAGGACTTGTTGGGCCTCCCAATGAACGAGGCCATCGATATGTGGGCACTAGGTTGCACTTTGGCCTTCCTGTACCTGGGAAAGCACCTTTATCCAATATTGTCTGAATGTGAGTATGACCTCATGAGCGATATCGTGCAGATGCAGGGTCTGCCTGATGATCACATGCTGAGAAATGGACGAAAGACCAACCTATTTTTCCACTTTAAAAACTATAGATGGAAGCTGAATAGTAACAATGCATACTACAACAAGACAGGCCAGTGGTTCTTCCCCTATTACAACAGGTTTACCAGTCTGGATGACATGGTGAAGACCCGATCAAAAGTGAAGAATCGTGCTGAATATAAAGACACACGGGCCTTTTTAAGCCTCATCAAAAAGATTCTGCAAGTGAATCCTGAAAAAAGAATCACCCCCAGCGAAGCTTTAGAGCACAGTTTTGTCACAATGAAACACTTTCACACTAACGAAGACCCTTATGTGAGATCTGCCTGTTTGGCCATGGAAGCCTGCCAACTGGAGCATTCATTGGTTAAACGCAAACCCTTTAAAACATCCAGAAATGGTTCGTCCATTACTAAATTGGATGATACACTTTCAGCTGATGATAGAATTGAAGAAAATGAACCACCGGCCACAGCTGACATTGTCACTGCTGGAACTAAAAACACTGGACTACCAGACAAAGTAGCCAGTTCTGGCTTTAATGACCCCAACAATGCTGGGACAGATGAGAAAGCATCAGGCACAGATAAGGCTGCTTCAGCTGCTCCTGTTAGTCATAATTCACATGAGGGCAACACTAACAATGATAAAGGAAACACACACTTTGTTGAAGTCAAATGCCGGAAGAAGTGGCTGAAGAAGATCAAGAGATTCTTCTCCAGGATGATCAAGCCATAAGTTGCTGCAAAGATTTTACTACACAGCACATTTTTCCTTTCTAAGTTGCACCTATTTATTCAAAAATTATATATTTTTCATGTTTAGTGCAACTGTAATATTGTAAATATTCATATTTTCATGCTGCTCTACCAGACAACCCCAACAGCTTTTACGCCTTATTTGACCAGCACAACACAGATACTCCCCAAAAGGCCCCCTGTGATCCAGAAGAGAATGCACTCCAGTTGACGCACACACAGGTCCTCCGGGCTCTGAGGCAGGTGAACCTCCGCAAGGCAGTAGGACCTGACCGTGCGGCACGAGAGTCCTGAAGGCCTGCGCAGAACAACTAGCAGAGGTGTATACAGACATCTTTAACTCCTCTCTCTCACAGGAAACAGTTCCACGCACCTTTAAGTCCTCTGTTATTGTGCCGGTCCCCAAAAAAACAAACACAACGAATGACTTCAGACCCGTGGCACTCGCACCAGTTGACATGAAGTGTCTGAAAAACTGGTACTAAAACATATAAACTCTGTGGTTCCAGACACAGTGGATCCCCTTCAGTTTGCCTACCGCTCAATCAGATCAGTGGATGATGCGGTGGCACTTCACTCCACCCTGCAACACCTGGACTCTAACAACACATATGTACGGATACTGTTGCTTGATTACAGCTCCGCCTTCAAATCAGACCGCCTAAGCTGACTGCCAAGCTGGCAGGGAGTACCAACACCCACCCATACCTGGATCCTGGACTTCCTTACAGACAGAAAGAAGGTCTCTGCTGAGCTCACAGTCGGCACAGGAACCCCACAGGGCTGTTGTCTCAGCCCTAAACTCACTGTACACATTTGACTGCGCCTCCACACAGGACAGTAACATCATCATTAAGTACGCGGATGACACCACCATCCTTGGCCTGATCAAAGGAAGGAATGAGTCATCATACAGGGACCTGGTCCACAAGATCACTGTCTATGTTGAGGACAATGATCTTGTCCTCAACATAGATAAAACAAAAGAAGTCATTCTGGATTTCAGGAAAAGAGCCCCCCCTCTGCAGCCTGTCATCATTATGGGGACAGAGGTTGAACAGACTGACAGGTTCCTGGGCTTTCACATCACAGAGAGCCTTAGCTGGGCTAAAAACACTACAGCTACAGTGAAAAAAGCTCAACAGAGGCTGTACTTCATCAGGCTGCTTAAGCGGGCCGGCGTCAGACGCCAGCCCTTCACCCAAGTCTACACTGTTAGAAATAATGTGCTAAATTTGTACCTTTTAGGGGTCCAACAGCTTGTCACTGGGGCAGTACCCTCAAAGGTACAACCATTGTACCCCTTAACATGTGTACGTATTGGTACCGTTACAGTTTGTACCTTATGTGGGCAAATATGTACCCCTGGAGACAAATATGGACCTAAATGTTATGGTACCTAAATGGACTTTTAGAAATGGTACAAATGTGGCCTTTTGAGGGTACTGCCCCACTGATAAGCCCTTTCTACCTTATGATGGCAAATTTGTAATCAAAGCATGTGAAACAGTC